CAGCTCAGCGTGTGAATGTGTTAATCAGAAATAATAATAATAATAATACACACACATACACATACATACAGGCACACATACATACATACATACATACATACATACATACATACATACATACATACATACATACATACATACATACATACATACATACATACATACATACATACATACATACATACATACATACATACATACATACATACATACATACATACATATATACACACATACATACATACATACATACATACACACACTCACACTAACAAACATACAATGATTAATTTTTATTTTATCAAATTTTATCGAAAGCATTTTACCCTTGGCGCCCAGTTATTTGTTAGCTTGATGTTATGCAGAGTCAGTTGTTTGTTTGTATGTATTTTTGTATATATAAACGTTTGTATGTTTGCTTGTTTGTTGGTTTGCTTGTTTGTATGTTTGCTTGTTTGTTGGTTTGCTTGTTTGTATGTTTGTTTATTTGTATGCTTTTGATAATTATGATGACATACTAATAATAATGGGATATCGTCAGCTTTTTCTATCTGTCATAATAATAATTTTTATTCATATAACTCTTTTTCATCATCATCATCTGCATCTTCTTCTTCTTCTTATTATTATTATTGTAGTTATCTTTAATAGCAATACACCTAATTTAGGTACAAACATGTTAGGGTACGTGCGCGAAAAAGAACAATAGCAACAACAACAACAACAATAATAATATCAACAACAATAAAAATAATATTTATAATAATAATGGTAGTATTGATAATAACAACATTAATAGCAACAAGTAAATGTAGTAATAGTGGTCAGTAGTAGCAGCAGTAGTAGTAGTAGTAGTAGTAGTAGCAGTAGTAGCAGTAGTAGTAGTAGTAGTAGTAGTAGTAGTAGTAGTAGTAGTAGCAGTAGTAGTAGTAGTAGTAGTAGTAGTAGTAGTAGTAGTAGTAGTAGTAGTAGTAGTAGTAGTAATAGTAGTAGTAGTAGTAGTAGTAGCAGTAGTAGTAATAGTAGCAGTAGTAGTAGTAGTAATAGAAGTAGTAGAAATAGTAGTAGTAGTAGTAGTAGTAGTAGAAGTAGCAGTAGTAGTAGTAGTGGTGGTAGTAGCAGTAGTTTAAAATTCAAGAACTAATAACAACAATATGTAAGCTTTCCATGTGATTTATAGCAGTGGTTGGAGGCTTTCATCTTAATTGTTGGTTGTAGTATTTTAGAAGTTTGTATCGTAAACAATTGTATGTTTGTATGTATGTTTGTTTGTATGTTTGCTTGTTTGTATGTTTGCTTGTATGTTTGTTTGTATGTACGTAAGTATATTTGTAATTACATACATTCACTGTTTAATTCACCCATTCATCCATATTCGTCAACGCCTGAATGATTCAATGTTTTAAAACGAACGAATGAACGAAAGAAAGAATGAATGAATGAATAAGAGATGAATTGAATGAATTTATGAATTAATGAATGAACGAATGAATAGATTGAATGATTGACCAAACAAATAAATGAATGTTTATAACAATAAGCTTAAGCATGTAAAAATGTTAAATTGAATTGTGGGAGGCTTGCAAGTCGATAGATGGATGGATGGATAGATAAATGAATGAATAAACGAAAAATGAATGAATGAACGAAAAATGAATGAAAGAATGAGCATGGAAAGGAATGATAAAGTCGGAATTCAAACTCATTTCCTTATAATAGAAAAAAGTGTGGATAAGTGGAAGAAAGAATAAAAGAAATGTTCTTTCAAACCATCGACCTTTGCCTGATAAACCCACACACACACACACGCACACGCACGCACGCACACACACAAACACACAAATACACAAACATAGAAACATACCTACCTACCTACCTACCTATCTTTAAACATTCAATTTCTTATCAACCTGCTGCTTTAAACTGCTCGCTCAAGAGCGATTTAACAGCCTTTTTATTTTACTTTTCTGATTCCTGTTATTGTAATTATTATTATTGTAATTATTGTTATTGTAATTATTGTTATTATTATTATTATTATTATTATTATTATTATTACTTTCTTCGTATGATTTGTTGCTTTGTAAAATGCACGGAACGAGCCATTAAATTTCCTTCGTATTTTTTTATCACATTCTTAAATATCAACTTACATACACACACACAAACGTACATACAAACATACAGACAGACAGACACACACACACATACATACACGTATATATACACACACAGTCAGTAGGCAGTATTCGGTTGGTCAGTTAGTCAGACAGTCAATGGTACAATCAATTTCCATAACAATTAGTTGGGTATTAGCTAAACGACGCTAAAAATTTTTTCTCTTTCCTCTTTCTGTCTGTCTATCTGTTTCTCTCTCTCTATATATATATATATAGAGAGAGAGAGAGAGAAAGAGAGAGAGAGAGAAAGAGAGAGAGAGAGATTTTATTTTGGAAGTTTAAAATGCTTGCAATCAGCACACTTAAATTGCTTTAAATGTATGTGTGTATGTATGTATGTATGTCTGAATGTATGTATGTATGTATGTATGTATGTATGTATGTATGTATGTATGCATGCATGCATGTATGAATGAATGTATGTATGAATGTATGAATGAATGTATGTATGTTTATATGCATGTATGTATGTATGAGTATGTATGAGTATGTATGCATGTATGTATGTATGTATGTATGTATGTATGTATGTATGTATGTATGTATGTATGTATGTATGTATGTATGTATGTATGTATGTATGTATGTATGTATGTATGTATGTATGTATGTATGTATGTATGTATGTATGTATGTATGTATGTATGTATGTATGTATGTATGTATGTATGTATGTATGTATGTATGTATGTATGTATGTATGTATGTATGCATGGATGAGTGA